CCATACATACAGGCTGGGGAACTCCCCTCTTGTCAGCACGGAGGTGGAAAAGGATCTGGGAGTCATTATTGACTCCAAGATGAACATGAGTCGGCAATGTGGGGAGGCGGCTAGGAAGGCCAACTGCACCTTGTCGTGCATCCACAGATGCATCTCGAGCAGGTCCAAGGAGGTGATCCTCCCCCTCTATGCGGCACTGGTCAGGCCGCAGCTGGAGTACTGCGTCCAGTTCTGGGCGCCGCACTTTAAGAGGGATGTGGACAGCATGGAGAGGGTCCAGAGGAGGGCCACTCGTATGATCAAGGGACAGCAGGGTAGGTCCTATGAGGAAAGGTTGCGGGACCTGAACCTGTTCAGCCTTCAAAAGAGAAGGCTGAGGGGGGATCTTGTGGCCTGTTATAAACTGGTTAGGGGGGATCAGCAGGTGCTGGGGGAGTCCCTGTTCCCCCGAGCGCCGCAAGGAGTGACCAGGAACAATGGTCACAAGCTGGCGGAGGGAAGGTTTAAGTTGGACATCAGGAGGCGCTACTTCACGGTCAGGGCGGCTAGGGTCTGGAACCAGCTTCCAAGTGAGGTGGTGCAGGCTCCCACCCTGGGGGTTTTTAAGAGGAGGTTGGATGAACACCTTGCTGGGGTCGTTTGACCCCAGTGCTCTTCCTGCCATGGCAGGGGGTCGGACTAGATGATCTGCTCAGGTCCCTTCCGACCCTAGAAACTATGAAACTACACAGAGACTCTCTTTGCCTTGGAAATGGCTTTGAAATAGTCGTCAGAAAGGCTGCTCTAAAAAGCAGTTCCCTGCAGGACATATGAAGGAGGACAGAACAGAAACCTAATTGGAAGAAATAACATGAAATAGTTTAAAATGCTGCCTGTTAATAAAGTAGCGAGCTTCTGCTCAGCCTTTCAAGGTGTTTGAACGGGTGCCCATTTTAGTGCTATACTTGGATAGAAAGCAGGGACAGGCCAAAGGCACGAGAGAGGATATCGTCCCACTCCAGCAAAGTTGGATGCTTGGTATAGTGCCACTGAAGGCAGAGACAACTCACATGCTTAAAGTTCAGCAACATCTTAAATTCATTGCTAAATTGGTACTTAAATCTGTGACAACTACAGAATAGAAGAAGACCTTTGAAAGTACAAATGTCAGACTAGTGGTACAATAATTAACACTCATATTGCAAGAAGAAAATCCTTGTGGCTTCTCTATTTACAACTGATCACTGCTAAGAAGATAGCAGAGCTGGCTGGAAAACAGTTCTGCTTTGGATTAAAAAAATTAAGGTTGAACGGTATCTTTTTTCTGAATTAAAAACGAGACATTTGTGGGGGATTTCCCCTCTGCAAACCCCCACCCCCCCAGCAAAACAACTTTTGAGACCATCGCAGAAAAGTAATTTTTCAGTAGAACAAAAAGTCATTCAAATTTGTCAACCAGCAGTGCTTCTTCATCCATTCAATGTTCATTCATTTGGGGCTGGACTCGATGATCTTCTGAGGTCCCTTCCAGCCCTAACGTCTATGAAATCTAACGTCTATGAAATCATACATTTCAATAAAAAGAAAAAATGCTTTATTACCATCTAACTGTGCACAGAGCTGGCATGCATTGCCACTGGTTCTTATTGCTATTCTTCCTCCTTACTACTTATACCTGATGTCTCACCCCATCTTAAATGGTGGCCTTTCCATGGCAGGAACTTTCTACCTATTCTGTGTCAGTGCAGACACTCACATTGCAAGTCCCAACTTTTATGCCAGATACCCAGTACCTGCAGAGGTAGAATACTCCTTTGGAGAATTATTATTCTGGCCTTCAGCGATAATAACCTGATATTACAGAAAAACTCAGGCTGCATTTACCTGTTGCTTTTTCAGCTCTTAAGGTAAAGACATACCTGTAAGTTAATTCCTGATTTATGGAAGTAGAAGCTGCACTTATTGTGTAGCAGACCTTGCTTTAGAATTCAGCTAGAAATTGAATCATGAACACATGTCCAACAACCTGCCACCAATTTCCGGTAGACTTTAATGGAAGATCGAGCCTCTCATTGAAGGAACTGGTCATAAAAAGTAAATGCAAGAGGTAACGCTGGTCTCAAGTTGTTAACTTACTGTACATGATTGATCTTTACGAAAGTAAGCAGAGTCCCACAAAAATTCATGGATTTGTTTCTCAGGTGCTGGTGGAGAATTTTTCCCCATGCACATACGCACACACAAATGTATTTTAACATTCAAGTTCAAACTATGTCAAAGGCCTCGTGTAAAATGTAGTCAAATTCACAAGGCTTCAAGTTGAATCAAGTAAAAAAAAATCACTTACATTCTAAGCAGCCCTATGAGAAACCATGAATCGGAGACTTGCTTGCAGCCTTGTGCAGAATTTCCCTAATTTCAAACTTGTAAAGAAATGGTCATGGCAGCTTTACTCAGCTGTGACCGCACCTTTTAGTGTATTTGAACACATCAACGTCTAGTATGGCCTCACTTACCTATCTGAACCCAAGAAGAGTACTGATGCGGGTAAAAAGGCCCACCATGCCTTGTAAATACCCACATGGCATTATAGAGCCATACAAACATTTCCATATGCTACAAATGTCAAACAACTCTTCTTTTCATGTTGCATGGAGAAGCATACAAAAACACCCCAAAGCAATCCCTCTTGCAGAAAACACTCTGTACCTGGGTATAGTTAAGATAAACGCACAGATACGTGCCTTTTCAAAACATGCGTCTCCCCTTGAGATGAAATATGAATTTCAGCTTTCCGGATCAAACTCACTTTGTGAGTTTACTTTACAGAATCATTCACTGTAGGCTCTATGGCTAGAGACAGAAGTTACAGGCAAACCGGTTTAAGTCATCAGAAACTGGTTTAAACCTGTAACAGAACAGGAATTCAGCGCACATAAAACAATTTCAAAATGGCTGACACTGGTTTAAGATAAACCTGGTTGAATGTAGTATCAGACTTAGCTGATTTGGGTCAAATGATTTCTGAAACTTCTATCCCAGACCCCATTTCTGGTTCCAGATAAATCACAGTCCCCCAGTATGCTTTGCAGCCCTGAGCTGTGCTGTGCTGTCTGCTTCAGCAGAGAAGGGTTGGGTGGGGTGAGGCAGGGACTACCACCCCAAGCAAAACCCAGCTGGGGTCTGTGGCCAGGGAAGGGGGGTTAACCCCCACTTCCCTTAAGTACAGAGCTGCCCTGCCCTGCTAAACTTACTGCTAGCTACAACTGTGGACTACAAATCCCAGAGGCACCTGGAAGCAGGAAGAGGAAGTGAAAAGCAACCCTGCAGAGTCCTGCTGCTGTGATTCTGAACTGAAATCCCAGAGACCTCAGGGGCAGCAGGAAGCAGAAGCCATGCTGGCTATGTGCCAGAGACCCCTGCTGTAGTGCCCCCACCTCTCCCCCTCCCACCCCCGACACGTGGCTGCACTTCCTGAATCAAAATTAAATGTCTGTCTAGGTGTTTCTCAGTTTAATCTCTGCAGCGTAGACTAACTTGCAAAGTCTGAATTGATTCAGCCTTAGGCTTTTAGACTGTCTGTACTTAGCCTATGAGCAAAAAAGTGTCAACCTCTGTCAGGAGATATCATGTCATCAGTACCGCCATTTTGCTCTAGTCACACAAAATAATTCACAGACCTACTGAAAATGGTAATGAAAAGGAACCAGAGGCCTTCTAGTCCATCCACCTGCTGAAGATACAATCAAATTATAGCTAGCTGCCATTGGATAATCAGCTTATCTCTGTGAATACCAACGAGATGCTTTGTATTCACATAGCTCTACAGGGTGAATTCTGATTCATTGAATGCACCTTGTTAAATTGTGTATTATAGCTCCAAGGAGTGATCCAGACATATGTAACTGTATGTATTTATAGGATGCCAGTGCTTGGTAAGCATTAAAAAAAGCCATAGGTAAAAGGTATTAATCTTGTGAAGAAATCTTTAAGACATAATAACAAATTGCAGCGCAATTTGAAAGTCAGCCATCACACACACAATTTCTGTTAATCTCTTCAACAGCTCTGTGACACAATCAATAAGGCTAGCTTTGCAGTACGGTGAATGTAAATTCCATTCTCGTTCAACAGTTTTGTAACTAAATACAAAGTTACAAATGGGGAAAATAAGTGAACTCATTACCAGGGGTATGTGCTGCATGCATTTAATGATTTTCCCCCATAATAGTTTCAAGGCCTGAATGGAAGCTCACTGAATTATAGGAAAAGACTACTAAAGATCTCACATCTGATCCTTAAACTATTTTAAATGACTATGGGGAAAGATAATATTTTAAATGACTATGGGGAAAGATAATAGACATCACTCATTTGCATTAGTCTTGCATATCACAGAGGTCAAAGTGTATTATTTTGCAAGCTTCCTCAAATGGCACTATTTAAAGGGGCATAAGATGGACCCTCCAATGGAGGAGACAGGCAAGGGGCTTGAAGCCTGGGACTTCTCAGCAACGCATTGACTCTCACTTGCTATGCAGGTCCACACATGCTTTTCCAATTCACGGCATGAAGATGCCATGATATCAAAATAGGGGTTTGTCTGCACAGCTGTGGATTGCATACTCCATTCACCCAAGTCTGTACACATACTCCAAACTAAAAACACATCAGCAAGGCTGATCCAGGCTTGTCCTACGTGCCCATTACTAAACCCTTATGGTCTCCAGTGGACCTGAGAGCAGCCTCACTAGCAAACTTCAGGGTTTGAAACGTGCCTGAGGATTGCAACAGGTGGCAGAATCTGCCTGGATTTACCACTACAGACATATAGAGTAGCCTATGGGGACCCTGGAAAGAGGATATGGCATGAGCTCTTCCCACCAGTACACCAGTGGGCTTGCACTAACTTAACCTACAGAAGCCCCTCATGACACGGCAGCCATCTCTCGTTTCTCATGGGTCTCTCTGTCCCTGCTGGCCCCCATGCAACCAGCGGTGTAACCCTGAAACATGCTTACCATCCAGGCCAGGCAGAACGGTACTTCTCATGGCCAGCACCAGACCAAGCGGGGATCCAAAGAGGAAGAAGTCAGAAACTTCAAACTCGAACCGTCCCAGGTTGACTTCCGAGAGACTGGAGATACTCGCAGGAGCAAAGTCTGCATCATCCTTCAGCATGCTTGAGTGGATGCTGGACAAGAAAAAACACACTGTTTTAGCAACAATGAGCCAGGGATCTTTTTCAGTCTCACTGGACAGAGTCGTAATGTACAGAGAGGCTGATTAGAGAACTCCAGTCCCTATCTATGTGCCCAGAGTGCTTTAAACACAAGGCACTGATAAAGCATAGCAACCCTACGATCATGGTAGGTCCCCACTTGCTCTGTTACTTATTCAATGCCTCACCTTAAGCAGATGCATGGTAAATTCACCAGCCTGGAAATCCAGTAATTCCCTATAGTTATACTTAGCTCTGATGGCCGCCCAGCATTTGTAGTGCTTTGGTCTCCTTGATGATGTGCCTCTCTAGTTATAATACACAATAATTGAATGACTACTACATGATTCAGGACTATGGAGGTTTTTTTTCCTCCTTCCATAATCATAGCCACAAGAAGGAATCCACAAAAACCCACTACTGAAAAATTTAACAGACTCAAGTTGTGTCTGAATACGACTAAAGAAGTCACTGAATACATGGGCGGACTGGGTGACAAATTAATTCTGCCAGGAATTTTCACCCCACATTGCAGTTACCTATATTGTACCAGTGAAAACAGGCAGCATTTATGTCCAGCTTTTTATGTGTAAAGGGATTTATAAATTAAGTGTTAATCCACAAACCACTGAGGTTTGAGATGGGTAGATTTGATCCCTTCTTTAAAGAGAATAGTTTCTCCCCTGACTGGCTCCTTGTTTTGCTCTTCACGTCTCTGCAAAGCTAATACTGAATACCTCCAGATCAGTGTTCATGTTATACACCTGCTTTGCACTAGTATAAGTATATAAGGTATGAGAACAGGAGAACAAGGCCCACAGAGGCCAAGCACTGGATTATAGGACATACTAGACATCTGGCTCTACATGGAGCTGTGGGTGCTTGTTAGGGCTGTGCAAGGCGTCGGTAGCTGACTTGATTCGGAGGAGTTTCGGCCCGATTTGGGAACCAAATCTCCAAATCCGAAGCAAATCAGGAGACCAATTAAAAGCTCCGAATCAATTTGAAGCATCCAAATCAAATTTGGAAAAGCTTCGAAAAAGATTTGTCCGCTTCGGAGATTCAGCCATAGACTAAACAGGCAGTTGCCACGGCTGCCTCCAGCTGGTAAGGCTGTTGGGGCTGGAGAGGGAGAAGGGAAGGGCTGTGGGGGAGGCAGGGACTGGGGATGGGTCTAGGGACAAGCTGCCCAGCTGGGGCGGGGGGGCATTACTTGGGGGAGG